TCTTGGTGCATTTTCGGCTTCAACCCTTTCCTAAGACCAAACCTAGCATCACAATTTTGGGAGAGAGCTGTCTCTCGCACTTTGCTTTGTCCAATCATTAGTTTGATCGAGTTCCGTTGTCCTGAGGAAGCGCCTTTTATTTTAGCCTGAGTGCAGTAAAGTTAGCGCTCTTTTTTTATTGCCTCAGTGTTCAGTTCCGCTGTCGAGGTTCAGTCCGCTTAATTTCAGTGATCTTTGCGCAACACCCAACTGTCCATTGCTAGTTGCGTTCTAAACCGTTGCAACAATATCTTCGTTTTACTTAGGCGTCCGAGGATTAGAGACTCGAATCCCGCCAATGTGACCTAGACTTGGTGTTGTTTGTTAACGGAAGGTTTGTGAGCTTTTCACTCTGCACCAGATGACTAATGGCGACCCACCTTTCCGACACTTTTAAGGCTTGAAGATAGAGATCGGCTGCCCACTTCTTATTGTTCATTATCACACCCAATCATGAAGTGCCATTGACTCGACGCTGTCAAGTTCACGGGTTGTAAGCACATTTTTCGCATTTACTGGCTTCTAAATATCTCTTAGCAGGCAAATGTCAGGCCGTTGTTGCGAAAGCTGCTGAGTCAGATGAAGTCAATTCGCAGTCGTAACTTATGATGAAATATTTTGATCATCCCTGCTTACCACCTGCTTATTTTAGCTGTTACAAAATGCGCCTTTTAACTACTTCGACTGTTACATTATTTTGGTGACACAAAAAACTTTAAGCTGAGGCAAAAGCTGTTTTCATAATGCTTGATACCTCCGGTTCATTATTGCACTTCTATCAGCGTCCGATAGGTGTCAAATATAAACGACTGTTGTATTTCCACACACTATTATCACTTTCGTCATCCATGAAGTAGCAAAGACGTGTGCTAATGATGCCTCAATTACAATGAGTACGAGGCATGTGAGAGACTATGACACAAGAGTTTGCCCTGACCTACCGCTAGCAGGCCACTATTCTGGAGCCAGTAACCCCACCAAACGTAAACAATATTATAAAATAAACAAGTCATTATAATACAGGATCACCATTTTTACCTCGAGCATTCAACAACATGTATAATCACGTAAAAATCTTTATACCAGTAGGGACCCCAATAATCATAGTTATAGAGCTAAAAAATACAGCCGTCTTAGCGTCTAACCCAACAGTAAGCATATGATGACCTCATAATCTTCTTCCTAAACAAACTATAGAAACATGGCAAATAATAAACCATTAAAGCCAAACACATCGGAAGACATGCTAATGCTCAAACATATATGTCTACTAATACCAAATTCACGAAGAATCAACACATAAACTTCCGGATGACCAAAAAATCAAAACATATGCTGAGATAATACAGGATCACCACCACCTAAAGGATAAAAAAAAGCAGAACTAAATTTACGATGAAACAACAACAGCTGCTAAGACTGGCAAAGTTACTAACAACAAAATAAAGTAAATAAATAAGATGAAAGTACAATAGACGTACGAAAAAAAAATATTGGTCATAAAAATACTATATAAAGTACAGATAAATTTTATCGAACCAAGCAATCTAGAAGCACCAGTCAAATGCATTGAAAACATTAAAAAATCTACACCGACGCCTTCTGAAAATAAAGACGATGACAAAGGAGGATAAAAAGTTCATCCAATACCTGCCCCTAAATAAATACTATCAACCAAAAACGCCAATGAAGGAACTAACAATCAAGCACTTAATGCAGTTAATCGGGGCAAATTCAAATCTGCTAACCCTCCTAATAAAGGCAATAGATAATTACCAAATCCGCCAATTAAAAATGGCATCATAAAGAAAAAAATCATAATTATACCATGATTAGTAGCCAAAAATTTATAGCAATCTAATGGTATAACTTTATGGTAAGACTCTACAAAATTTACTCGAATTAACAAACTAAACCTCAAACCTACAACAAAGTATAAATAGTACCAACACGCTTATGAT